TCTCAATCCCAGGGGGAGCAAAGGCAAGGCGAATCGGCTCCACCATCAAGGCACCAGGACCCCAAGTCGAAAGGCAAGGCGGTTGCTGAAGAAGGAAATCTGAAGATTTTGTTGCAAGTCCTCAAGAATCCTTATTTGAAGACTCTACCTCTCAGGTAGTGATTACTTCACTCAGCCAACTTCAAATCCCATCATTAACCTGTGGTCGATTGGAGATGGTTCCTGTTCAACCATCCTCTTCTACTCCAATAGACCAGCAGATGACTCAACTTAAGGAGTCGCTCGACCAGACTAGAGTAAAAATTCCTCTTCGTACCTCTAGTGGTGGTAAGTTTGACTTCCTTTCTGAAGTTGAAAGACTCGAGGCATTAAGGGCTGAAAAAGAGCTAGAACTTCAAAAGAAGCAGACTGAAGAAAGCCTAAGGCTTGCCAAGTCACTAGCTGCTAAAGTCCTTCCCAARAAATCCAAGAAAAAGGTGAGTGCTATCCATGCCCAGGCCAAACTTCTTCAAATTGCAGAAGCTAAACTTAAAAAGAAGCAAAAGGTCGAAGATAAGGAAAAGCAATGGAGCGAAGCAAAATTGAAAAAGAGACTCAGTCCCCGCCCAATTATCAGCGTCAGCATCAGCAGACGATCTAAAGACGGTGGTACTCTTGTCTCAATGCTCATCACCAGGGATAATCTTGATGCCGTTTCCGAGTATCCTTCTTACCTTGGTCGCTATGGATTCAGCGAATGGATGGAGATCAGGAAADCCATTCAGCAATCCAAGTCGAGACACAAGACACTTATCGAGGACACCATCAGCGAGCTTATCAAAAGGATGTCCAGGTATGTCAAGGTCTCTGACTGGCCAACTCTGAATAAAGGTAAGAAGAAGAAGACAACGCCCATCGATCCTAGTGAAGGACCATCCCTGAGGAACGAACATGAAACAAAGTTCTCCTTAGATGACGTCCTGAAGGGTCATATGAGTATTGACATTTCTATGCTGAATCTTGACTTGCCAGTTAAGGGTCCCTATACACCMAACACHRTGYATTTCAAACCTGAGTTAGGAGTTATATTCCTTGACTATGAAGGTGAAGTCAGATTTCAGAGAATGTCAGAATTGCCTCACTGTCCAATGGATCACTTGGTTTATCTCTTGCAATGGATAGAAGACAGCATGCCTGGAAAAGTTGTCGATCTGAAGATTCGAAGATAGCTCATTCGTCGAAGAAAACTTGGTGAAGATGTACCTGTGTACATAGATCTAAGTGTTCCACATTAAGTCTCTTTGTATCAACAATCCACTTTTCCTTGTAAATCTTTTCTATATCTTCTTTCATTGATTGTATTTACATTTCTGTAAATTCTGAACATGCACTGTAATACTTGTATTATTTCCTTTGTTTAATAAAATGAGTATTCCATGTGCTTCACTGAAAAAGATCCCCAAAAAAGTAATAGGGACACAAGTCTATGAGTTCCAGTGTTACTTTTATCAATCATTGACATTCTATATGTCAATGAATAAGCTTTCAGTTTCAGTTTCTGTACTTGTATTTTTTCTTAGATATAACATAAGAAAACCCTCAAACTGAGACTGACCAAACTRAAAAAGATCCCAAAATAGTAAAAAGGGACATGTACTTTATATGTTGTTTTTCCTTACTATTATTTGATAAGATAACTTTCTTTATGTTATCTTGTTATCATCAAATAAGGGGAGATTGTTGATCCTCTCTCTCAGTGATTTGATGATAATCCCTTTTTCCTTTCGATGTATT